TACATTAGGAGAACCACTATAAGGTAAAGTTACAGTACATTATGAGAACCACTATAAGGTAAAGTTACAGTACATTATGAGAACAACTATAAGGTAAAGTTACATCTACATTAGGAGAACCACTATAAGGTAAAGTTACAGTACATTATGAGAACCACTATAAGGTAAAAGTTACAGTACATTATGAGAACCACTATAAGGTAAAGTTACAGCTACATTATGAGAACCACTGTAAGGTAAAGTTACAGCTACATTAGGAGAACCACTATAAGGTAAATGTACAGTACATTATGAGAACCACTATAAGGTAAAAGTTACAGTACATTATGAGAACCACTGTAAGGTTTTTTTACCTGCTAGGAGTAAACTACTACACAGCAGGCACCTCATTCGAGCCACCTTTAAAAAAATTAGTTTAAACTTTTTTAAACATGAAATCTAACAATAGCACATTTTTAGGGCATTTTTTTTACTTTTAGAGATTGTTGTTTTTGTAAAAACAAAACCTAAAATGTTCAAAGAAAAATAATTTTGTATATTTTACATAGTTTTACGCCAATCAAAAGATAATTTTGTATATTTTACATAGTTTTACGCCAATCAAAAGAATCGGACGGCAAATTTTGCTAACGTGACCCCTTCTAAAATCAAATACTCTATACCCCAGAAAAATTTAGAGTCATTAAAAAAAGGGCTGAAAATTTCAATCCCAGTTTTTTGTGGCCACTCTGACATATTTTACTGACAGAAACATCAAATGGGTGTAAAACTATTATCAATTAATTGATAATTTGATCATCTATATAAATTTGGCTTTTCTTTGAAAAATTTGTGTTTAAAAGTTTTTTTATTTTTGTACAAAAGAAAATTTAAAATCTTGAAAATCCGCGCATTTTTTTCATAAAATCCGCAAAATTCTTTTCTTCTTTGGTTTTCAATTTTCACAATTGAAATAGAAGATGGGCGCGAAGCGCCCCAAAAGTCTAATGATTTTATATTCTTATTACGGTTATACCCCCATTTTTGGTTAACACAAAAACGCATTAATTTGAAACTTGCTAATTTTCTATTTCACACAAAAGTACCAACCCTTGAATGTTTTCAATGCCACTGACGATCAATTTGAATATAGAACAAATTCTAAAAATATAATAAAATATGTAAAGTTTGGACTCGAAGGATATCTTTCAAAGTTTAAATATTTCAGGTCGGGTTGAAGTCCATAGGGAAATACAACCGGACTTACTTGGAGAGAATTGTATTATGAAAAATATAAAATAAATGGAAAACTTTTAGTAAATTCCAACAAGAAATTTTGCAAAAGTTCCAAATTCCAACATAAGTTTTCTTATTTATGTTTTAAATGAAGGTTTTTTTTGAAGACACTAAATAAAGGAAATACGACCATAAAAAGTTAATTGATTAGATATGGATACTTATAAAGAGAGTGTTAGCGAAAAATGAAAGGTAGTATAGGCTTACGGCGAAAAATAATTGCTTTTAATCACTATTGATCTTTCTGTCTGTTGCGTCTTTAAGTAGAAAATTGTTAAAAACGACCTAAACTGAATAACGTAGCGTCCATTTAGCATTCGATTATTTTTCGCTGAAAGCCTTTACCCCCTTTCATTTTTTGTGAACGCTCCCTTTAATGTAATTCAATTTGTTGATGAAGCGCAATTTATTAAACAAAAAATTAAAAAATTAAATTAAACAAAAATCACCGTCTACTCAGAAACAAATTAAGATACATTTAGGTTTTTTATTTAAAATATTGAAAACTTCCAATTATTCTATTAATTTTTCTAATAATCTTGGCCTGGTTTCACATTTTCTAACTACAATATCTGAAAATTAAGCCAATAACCTGACTTTTTATTATTACCAGAAATAACTTTTACTCAATGCAAGAACAAGAAAAGTTGTCTACCTTTACTTAAATTGGGAAATATTATTCGCTTATTCTTTTCTAATAGTTTACAAAAACAAATTACCCACCGTGTTTTTATATATCTGATAAATTAAAATAATTTTTAAAAACTTGATTTTTTCAAAGAAAACATACTATGAAACAAAAAAGCATAGATGAATTAAAATAACAGAAAGGATACAATAACCCTAGTAGAGTCTTTGCAGGTAATTTCAAGTTTAAGAGGGGTGTCTTCTTGTATAGAGTCCTTGCACTTAATTTCAATTTTAAGAGGGGTGTCTTCTTTTATAGATTCTTTGCACGTAATTTCAAGTTTAAGAGGGGTGTCTTCTTGTATAGAGTCCTTGCACTTAATTTCAATTTTAAGAGGGGTGTCTTCTTGTATAGATTCTTTGCACGTAATTTCAAGTTTAAGAGGGGTGTCTTCTTGTATAGAGTCCTTGCACTTAATTTCAAGTTTAAGAGAGGTGTCTTCTTGTATAGAGTCCTTGCACTTAATTTCAATTTTAAGAGGGGTGTCTTCTTGTATAGATTCTTTGCACGTAATTTCAAGTTTAAGAGGGGTGTCTTCTTGTATAGAGTCCTTGCACTTAATTTCAAGTTTAAGAGAGGTGTCTTCTTGTATAGAGTCCTTGCACATAATTTCAAGTTTAAGATTGGTGTCTTCTAGTAGAGTCCTTGCACATAATTTCAAGTTTAAGAGGGTGTCTTCTTGTACAGTCATTGCACGTAATTTCAAGTTTAAGTGGGGTGTCTTCTTGTATAGAGTCCTTGCACGTAATTTCAAGTTTAAGAGGGGTGTCTTCTTGTATAGAGTCCTTGCACTTAATTTCAAGTTTAAGAGGGATGTCTTCTTGTAGAGTCTTTGCAGGTAATTTCAAGTTTAAGAGGGGTGTCTTCTTGTATAAGGTCCTTGCACGTAATTTCAAGTTTAAGAGGGGTGTCTTCTTGTAGAGTCCTTGCACATAATTTCAAGTTTAAGAGGGATGTCTTCTTGTAGAGTCCTTGCAACATAATTTCAAGTTTAAGAGAGGTGTCTTCTTGTATAAGGTCCTTGCACGTAATTTCAAGTTTAAGAGGGGTGTCTTCTTGTAGAGTCCTTGCACATAATTTCAAGTTTAAGAGAGGTGTCTTCTTGTATAGAGTCCTTGCACATAATTTCAAGTTTAAGAGGGGTGTCTTCTTGTAGAGTCCTTGCACTTAAGTTCAAGTTTAAGAGAGGTGTCTTCTTGTATAGAGTCCTTGCACATAATTTCAAGTTTAAGAGGGGTGTCTTCTTGTAGAGTCCTTGCACATAATTTCAAGTTTAAGAGGGGTGTCTTCTTGTAGAGTCCTTGCACTTAATTTCAAGTTTAAGAGGGGTGTCTTCTTGTATAGAGTCCTTGCACATAATTTCAAGTTTAAGAGGGGTGTCTTCTTGTAGAGTCCTTGCACTTAATTTCAAGTTTAAAGGGGTGTCTTCTTGTAGAGTCCTTGCACTTAATTTCAAGTTTAAGATTGGTGTCTTCTTGTATAGAGTCCTTGCACATAATTTCAAGTTTAAGAGGGGTGTCTTCTTGTAGAGTCCTTGCACTTAATTTCAAGTTTAAGAGGGGTGTCTTCTTTTATAGAGTCCTGGCACGTAATTTCCAGTTTAAGAGGGATGTCTTCTATTTGAGCCATTGCACTTAATTTCAAGGTTAAGAGGTGTGTCTTCTAGTAGAGTCACTGCACTTAATTTCAAGTTTAAGAGGGATGTCTTCTAGTAGAGTCATTGCACTTAATTTCAAGTTTAATAGGGGTGTCTTCTAGTAGAGTCATTGCACTTAATTGATAAAGTAATTGATAAAGAATAATTAAGATATCCATGTTGTTTGGTGTTTGAAAACTGAATACTTTAAAGTGGGGTTTCTCTTCAAAGTGATATGCGCATTTTTTGCTTCAGAAACATTGGAGAAATTAACATGATTAAATAGCTTTCAATTTAAAAAAGAATCTATTCTTCATTATTGATGAGATTTAGGTGCCAAGGCATGCAAGGGTACCGTTGTAAATCAGGCATAAGTCTCTTTGAAACTAAAAACGTCTTTTTAAACAAAAAAATTGTTTTACAATTGAAAAAGAGATATTTGCCAAACTGTTTACAGAATGGTTTAGTTTTATCTTTGATTAAACCTAGTCACGCTATAGAGTATTGTGTCATGGACTAAATAATGCCTGGCAGTAATAAATTCACTATTTTTTTACAATTGGGGGCATTTTTTCTAAAGTGGAGGGCAAAAAATTATTTTGGGATCGAGAAAATCAGCTATTTTGGGAATTATATGGACCCCTGCCGTAACCTTGCTTTCAATCAAAGGGGGAGGGAGGGAGAAGAAATTGAATTTTCTCCACAAAGGTGTCCATTATCAGGTTGCAAAGAGATATATTTGAGCTTGTGACAAAAACTTCTGTTGATGATTAAATATTTTACAATACGTGCAGACAAAAGTCAAAGTGGAATCCTAATTGGTTAAGAATAATTAAACATTTGAAAGATTTCGTTGTGCAATAAATTATAATCTGGACAGATTTCTTAATATCTACGTTAATTTTGAAATCATCACACCATTTCCATGTTTATTGGGACACTCTGTATCAAATAAGGAGTAGAGAAAAGAAAGAGCAGATTAAAGAAAACACTAATCTTCAGAACATCTTATTTTCAAAATACACAAACACAAAGATATTTTACATTTTTTCTTCTGCTTTCTCATTTCTGTAATGCAGTTTTTAATTTGCGAACTAATAACTTCATTACTAAGTTACATTTTTCGGTTTGCATAATCCTTTAACCCTGGGGTTTTGATCGGGGATAAATATTGGACTTTGGACATGTGCAAAGATGTAAATTCCTATGTGCAAAGACGTAAATTTCCATGTGCAAAGATGTAAATTCCTATGCGCAAAGATGTAAATTGCCATGTTCAAAGATCTAATTTCCCTTGTGCAAAGATGTTAATTCCTGTGTGCAAAGATATAAATTCCCATGTGCAAAGATGTAAATTCCTATGTGCAAAGATGTGAATTCCCATGTGCAAAGATGTACATTCTTATGTGCAAAGATGTGAATTCCCATGTGCAAAGATGTAAATTCCTATGTGCAAAGATGTATATTCCCATATGCAAAGATGTAAATTCCTATGTGCAAAGATGTGAATCCCATGTGCAAAGATGTTAATTTCTATGTGCAAAGATGTGAATTCCTATGTGCAACGATGTAAATTCCCATGTGCAAAGATGTAAATTCCTTTGTGCAAAGATATAAATTCCTATGTGCAAAGATGTAAATTCCCATGTGCAAAGATGTAAATTCCTATGTGCAAAGATGTAAATTGCCATGTTCAAAGATGTAATTTCCCATGTGCAAAGATGTTAATTCCCATGTGCAAAGATGTAAATTCCCATGTGCAAAGATGTTAATTCCCATATGCAAAGATGTAAATTGCCATGAGCAAAGATGTAAATTCCCATATGCAAAGATGTAAATTGCCATGAGCAAAGATATAAATTGGCATGAGCAAAGATGTAAATTGGCATGAGCAAAGATGTAAATTGGCATGAGCAAAGATGTACATGAGAAAGGATGTAAATTGCCATTTGCAAAGATGTAAATTGCCATGAGCAAAGATGTAAATTGTCATGAGCAAAGATGTAAATTACCATGTGCAAAGATGTAAATTGCCATGTGCAAAGATGTAAATTGGCATGAGCAAAGATGTAAATTGCCATGTGCAAAGATGTAAATTCCCATGTGCAAAGATGTAAATTCCCATGAGCAAAGATGTAAATTGTCATGTGCAATATAACATATTGACTAAATAATTCTAAGCCATAAAATTTCCAGATGACATTGACATCCTTGTATCATGAAAACTTTATTCAAGACTGTGTAACATATTGATATGATTGCCTCATAGAACCAGGCAACGCACTATTAGTACTTTGCCCGTTAACAAATATCAATTTCAAATTAAGGAAAATTTTGTCAAATGAACGGATTAAAAGCTAAAAAGTTTAAATTTAAAACAAAACAAACATTTGTCCAAGAGATTACATATAAGAAAGTGTTCCGCTTCCGCTGATACTTTTATATGATTTTGAAGAAAAATATCTTAAGTTAATTTTGCTGAAAGGAGAAATAAAATAATTTTGGCAATAGGGATTATAAAAATGGTTTAGCTTCTCCGAAAAAAACAATTGACAAATATTAACATTTCAAATTTATTTCTCTCATAAAGAAAATCTACGATTTTCCCTCTTTTTAATAAACTATTTATTTTGAATATGTTTTTATGCGTGGAATTTATTAAATATAACATTTATAAGAACAAAAAACATCAAAAATTTAATCTAAAGATTTGAAAAATGTTGTAATTGTATAAAGGTGGTAAAAAAAATGTAATTGTTCAAAGTTGTTTGGCTCCAAAGAATTGCTCTATAAGAATCTAAGATATTTGACACTGGGCAAAATCAGATTTTCTAAAATTCAGCTTTCATCCATTTATGTATTATTTTTGCTCAGATTAAATGTATTAATAAAAAGTGCTTTTTAACCGATTTTACTAAAAAAATTGTTGAGTATACAATTTTGAATTAGGTGAAACATCTTAGATTTTTGTGAAGCCTCTGAAAAGTAAAAACCTTGAAAATGTTAAAAAAAGTTTCCCATTGTGGAAGACGATGCCTGGCCGCGTTAAACAAGTTCCACAAGATTCAACAGAATGAGATAGAACGGATATGGGGCATAGTACTGAAAAACATCTACACGTGTGATCTCGATATAAACTATTATTCTGAACCCTCTAGTAATAAGTTATAAGAAATATATACACTGGAAGTTATTTATGCGTTTTCATTAGAGTCTGACTCATGTCCTCTATACCATTTCTATATTTTTCATTTTTAATCTTAGCAGGCTTTTTTTGAGAATGTGTATAAATTAATTACATTAATCTGTATTTTTAAATAGTTGAGATTTTAATGTATTACATAAGAACTCTTTTACTTCACACTTGTATGCCGCGTCCATTAGCGCCTGATCCAATCAGGGTTCAGTCATGTGTTTGTTGTCTATTCTGAACCAATAGAAGTAGAATGGCGGTAACAACTATCTTTCTATCTATCTCATTATCCAATTAGAGTTATGAGTCCTTAAATCGGCGCTTTCAGTAAATGGAAATATTTACTACTACTGAAACTACAGATAGATCTGAAGATACACCTGTGGATCAACGATTAAAATTTAATTCGTGATTTCCGGATAATTAATTAAAATTTAATTAATACCTGACACAAAGTTAAGTTAATGAAGTCTATTTATCAGATCTATCTAGATCACCACACATCTTTAAACTGTGTTTGATTTTCACCAAATATTTGTCCTTGCCATCTTTCTGAAATTAAGAACAATAATTAGGGTTTCCATACATGCACAAAAACTTTGAATTCAATTTCAGGAAATTTTATTTAGTATGTTTTACATGTTAATTATTACAAGTTACTACCTACAAATTTTTAACGAAAAGTTTTCATTTTATCTCAATCATAAAAGTCTAAATAATGTTAGAAAATTGTCTCTGCAAGTTGAAACTGTTTTTTTTTTCAAACTTTATTAGTAATTTCTTTGCGGATAGAGTTGGTTTTCGTTTTTTAATCTTCAGAATTTTTTGCAATATGGAAACTACCCGAAAATCTGCGATGTTGAAAATATTACAAGATTATGTGCCTTTATGACGCCATGAAAAATGTATGCTTGTAAGACAAAAGATTGGTTTTGCTTCGCTTTGGCTTATATTTTCTGCTCTGCAAAGTCAACATTTTGCACAAGTTCTCAAAACCAAACTTAAATAGACTAAAGTTTTGAATTTTGTTAGATTTCGCAGATTTGTATTGATTGTCAGTGAGCCAGAAAACCCTGAATATGTTTGCATAAAATCTCAAGTCTGTTATGGATAAATCTTCTTAATACTAGAGACGGGCATTTTGCATTGTTTTCAGAAATTATAAAAATTGTTCCCTGATAACAAAATTTTTTTTATTTAAATCTACGAAATTTTTCGGGGGTTTCTTTGTTATAAAACGAAAGTATTTTTACGGCGAAAAATAAGCGCTTTTAATCACTACTCATCTTACTTCTATCTGTTGTGTTTCTGTAAGGAGAAAATTGTTAAAAACGACTCATGCTGAAGCACGTAGCGTCCGTACAAACGTTCAACTCGGATCGTAAAATAATCAATTTAATTCACACAAATCATTTAGATATGGCAACCAACAGTCATCGATTATTTTTTGACGCATTCGTATATAGTTAAAATAACTTAATTTTTTATTTTGTTTTTTAAAATAATATTTCGCTGGCTCTGAACTTTCGAACATGACTTTTACTGATTTATAGATTAACCTTTAATAAAGGCTGGGTGTCTGAATCTATGTAAAGCCTGGCCTGGGGGGGGGTCCCACGCCCCCACCGCGAGAGTAAGGCCTTTTAGTAAAGGTATAAAGTTGCAATGCATGTTAATAGCCCAATTTTTGTGGGTCAGCTCATCGACAAAAATTTAGACCGCTAACTTTGAATAAAATGCAAAAAAAAACTATAAAAAATGTATAAATGGTTACTTTTGTGTTTTATAAATATATTAAGATGCGACACAAGTTTCTACATTGTCAAGGGCTTATCAAAAATGTAGTTTTTAAATCTGTGGCTTTAGTCACAAATAAGTTCATAGGCTATATTAGATTTTGTTCACACGGACCAGACGTTTAACCACACTGTACAATACCCCATGCGGTAAAAAAGATACAAATCTAAAGTAAAAAAAGTGTCAAAAATGAGAGTGCTAGGGCAAAAAATTAGAGCCCCGGCTTGTTTAGGGTTAAACTTTTTTTAAAAAATATCGCAGATGAAAAAGACTTACATTTCAATGTAATATTATCTTCTATTAAACCTTAGGTCTAATTAAATGATACGTGGTGGGGGTTGAAAAATGTTTATTGGTAAAAACTTATTACGCAATATATGGGAGCTTTATTACTGTGTAGTTAGTTTCTGTGGAGTTCCCATATACAGAAATAATTGACTCCAACCATGATCTGACATTCTTTGTTAAAAATACGCACTTTGAACTCCATTACACTTCATTGGGGTAAGAAATTTAATCTACGATGATTTTTTAATTTCAAATTACTAATCACTAATCGCTCAAAAGTCAAAATCCTTTAAATAGATATATTCTGTGTGTGTGATTTTTCTAGATAAACCCAATTTATTATTATTTGTGTTGTTTTCTATATTATGTCCTGATAAATGACATCTTTATTGTGTTCGGACTTTCTTATTTTTCCGTCTTCAGCAATACTGCAATCTCCACTGCTTTTACAAAATAAAAATGACACTGCAAAATTTGGCACAGATTGTGAATATTTTGCATACAAAATTTCTAAACAATTTTATCGACCTTTTTTTGATATTAAGGAATATTTTTATGATAACTCTATGAAAAAAGTCAAATTAAATAAAATTGTAATGGAAACATAGAGAATAGAATATATATTCTCTTTGAATGGAAATGCATGAGTCTTTGCAACAATCTCTAATTTTCTAATCCCTATATCTTTGCAACACAAAGTTAAAGACCATATGTAGATATGTCAAACTATGAATTCTGTTAGATCAAATAGTATAAGTATGAAATATCAAAATTTTGTTATTTTTGTATGAACTTCACAAAAAAATATTTGTTTTAATGTTTTAATGCAAATCGGTTACTATAATATACCTCGTTTACTAAAGGCTAACTAACATACAGGTTGCTAACGATTAGCTAGTTTAACCAACCGTTAACGAATTAGCCTGAAAGTACCCAGCCCTATTTGTATGTAAACAAGTTAAAATTTGAAAATTAAACTAATACGTATAAAACTAAAATATGTCGTCTTTTTTCCTTCTCGCTGCTTTAACCCTATCTCTGCTGGGGAAAACCAGGATATGCTGGGGGGGGGGGGTCAAATTGACCCCCCCCCCCCCCTATAAATCCCATGTTTGATGTCCAAATATGACAAATGATACATCATTGGAAAGCTCTTGTGCTCTACTTATAGAATCTGCAAAAAATTGCAAATTTGCAAAAATTGACTTTTTATCGCAAAATCCAGTTATATAGTAAAAATGCTTGCAAGACAAATTTGTCCAAAAAATGAAAAATTATACATTTTTGAAAAGCCCATGACCATGCCATTTCAAATCAAGAAAAACTAAAAATGTGCAAATTTCCTTTGACAGGTTGTTTGCAAAAAAAAATTGGAATTTTTTTCGCTAAACTTATGCAATTCGTTTCCTTATGTCAAAGGCTTTCCAAAAAGCTAAATTTTATCAAAATCTGACAAGTGGAAGTGGGTCGAAACAAAGATTTAGTTTGTTACAGGAAAAAGTAGTTAGTATTAATTAAAGCCTGGTTTTAGGCCTAAAGGGAGGGCTTTGAATATGTAGGAAAAGTCAGAAAATTTCAACAGCCTCAGACCAATACTTTTTGAGTTATGTAAAAAAAGCTACAGGGGGGGGTCAAATTGACCCCAGCAGGAATAGGGTTAAACAGGGATCTAATTCCAGTATTCCCGGAGGACAAATACTTTTTCTGTGTAATTGTTAAGTGATCTTTATTGTAGAAATATATAGTTATGTAAATGTAATATGTATAATGTACACACTTCGGAATTGTTAATGTTACCAATCAATAAACACTCCAAACTTGTTGCAGTAATAACGATTTGTTGTTATTATAAAACTTTTATACACAAGGGTTAACATTTTGTATTTGTGATTTAGGATTATTATAGAATCTTTGTTTTAAACATATAAAAGAATATAAACGTAATTTCAATTGACCCATTTTTAAAATGACATGTCACTCTTGGCGGAGTCCATTAGCGCCTGATTCAATCAGAGTTTAGTCATGTGTTTGTTGTCTATTCTAATGCAATAGACATTGCATGGCGGTAACATCTATCTTTCTATCTCATAATCCAATTAGAGATAAATCCTTAAATCGGCGCTATACACTAAATGGAAATATTTACTTCTACTGAAATAATAGTGATGTAGCAATTCCAAACAGTGTCCTTTCAAGGTGCCTATTTAATTGTTCAAATGAGGAGGCATTTCAGTTTTTCTATACTGAACAATTATTTTTAATAACAATTCCAAACAGTGTCCTTTCAAGGTGCCTATTTAATTGTTCAAATGAGGAGGAATTTCAGTTTTTCTATACTGAACAATTATTTTTAATAACAATTCCAAACAGTGTCCTTTCAAGGTGCCTATTTAATTGTTCAAATAAGGAGGAATTTCAGTTTTTCTATACTGAACAATTATTTTTAATAACAATTCCAAACAGTGTCCTTTCAAGGTGCCTATTTAATTATTCAAATGAGGAGGCGTCTCAGTTTTTCTATACTGAACAATTATTTTTAATTCTTGTTCCGTTGTTGCAGTCTTTCTGTTTTCTAATTAAACTATTTTAAAGTTGCATCATGCCCCCGGCCTAGTCTAATATTGAAGAGAATTTGTCTATATATACGAACCTTCAACTTGGCTTCCAAGGTTAGTTTATTTTCGGGGAACAAAGTTTAGATTAAATCTGGACTCAGACAAGATAATAAAAACAGGAACACGTTTCGAATTCTAAGGAACTGTGTTTCATTTAAACCTGATGTAAGATAAAGGGTGTCCCACGTCCCACGATACATGACTGTAGTAGCAAGACGATTTGAAAGTCATCTTTGAACTTTGAATTTATTTGTGACATTCAGTCGTCAAGCTACTTTCACATGTATGATTCTTGAAACAATAACCACACTATTCTCCTAGTCCTGTCATTTTCAAAAAGTGTTTTGCCCTTTTTGTGTTGTAAATATTACTGGAGATCTTAACAATTTCGTTCAGATTTTAGTGTCCGAATTTAATTAATTTGAGCCGAGTCTCAAATCCGCCAAAAACGGACTTGAATCTTGAAAGATTTAATACAATTTTAAGTGGAACCAACCATATTTGAGCCGCGTCTTAAATTAAAGCCGCGGTTCAAATTCTTAAAATTCGGCCACTGTTTTATTTAATAAAACTAAATCTAAACGAAATTCTTCATATTTCCGGTAGGAAGTCCAAAAAGGCAGAACATATTTTGGAAATGCATATCTACGGGTATTTTGTTATTATTAACTCCAGAATTTTACTTTTAAAATTAGGTTTACTACTTTGTGACGCAAATTTTATCAAAGATCAAAGACGACCTTGAATTCGTCTTACACTGTCATGTTCCGTGGCACCTCTGCCCCTTTAGTAAAAGTAAATTCAACCTTTATGAGGCATAAAGTCTGACCGCGTCAACCTTGTTGCAC